AACTATTTTGCACTGTGCTATACCACAAGTACAAAAAACCACAAGGAAAAACAAGAAGGGGGGGGGGGGGGTGTTTTGAAGTGAAAGTTGACAAGGTTGCAAAGGCTTTATGGATGAGCATCATGTAGCGAACAGTGACAGCATAAGATCAATTTTAGATTTCCTGTTATGGAGCATTAGTCACAATTTCACCGTGGCCCCAAGCGATGATTAGAACATACATGTACAGCTCACCGGCCGTGTTTTGAGGGGAGAACTGGCACGCGAACGATGGAAATATATAAAAAATAAATGCATGTGCAGTGCATGCCACACAATGAACGCCTTGATGGCGTTTGTTACGAGGCGTGGCCGGGGTCAATGCGTCACAAAGTACGTAACATACATACATGTACATTTTGCCCCTGCATTTGTGACTTAATGAAACATTTTACTATCCCCAAAAAACCCGAATGTTTTGGTTAATCTGTAAGGAAATTTTGTTGGGATATTTCTTCAAGTTTGAGCTTTGGGTATTTTCATACCTCTCTTTTTTTCATTTTCATTTCATTTTTTTTAATGTTTTGTTTTAAGGAACTTAGGATCTGTAATATTCATGAAAAACACACTTTCAAGATATGTTTACTCCCAGTAATGAATTAGCCCTGCTCTACAAATTTCCTACTCAATTTTCTTCATCAAATCTTCCACTTCCAGGGGTGAATGGAATTATTTTTTGAAATGGGATTAGGACAAATGAAAAACCAAACACTCCCCCACCCCCCCCCCCCAAAAAAGAACCAAAATAACTGTCGCCATTGAAATTATAATCCAATCACAGTGACAGGTCCATTCACCCCAAATACACTTCAATTTTTTTTTTTCAATTTTAAAAAAGGTAATCGTCAAATTTCTGGCAATACATCAGAGGAGGGAAATCAAAATCGCCCGAGCTGACAAAAAGACGAAAGAAGAGGGGGGGGGGGGGATATTTATACAAATTCGCTAGGGTGGTTGTCTTGAGGATGCTTCAGGAGATGATTTGCTGAAGAGCGTTCTACGGAGACGTAAAACAGCGAGGAGGGGCGAACATTGACCTACAAGGCAACCGCGCGGGAATGACAACACTTGTTGAGTCTCATCGATTGGATTTCGTCTTCTCTCCCCTGAACCATCTCCTCCTCCCTACCAACCCCCTAAGGATGCCAAACCAGTCGCCCCCTAGCGGATGTCCTCAACCCTGTCTCGGGTCACTTGTTCCCATGACAACCCATCTTCGTTTACGATGCCACGACGAGCGTTTGGATTTGGTTTTGTGCAACAACTCCCTCAATCTGTTTCTCAGAGTACTGAGGGCCAAGATATGCAATTTTTTTCACCTCAAAATGTCAATTTAAAAAATCTTCCAACAGCAACTACAAATACACTTTGTTACTGAAATATTCAAAAAGTTCTCAAATTCCAAACCACAACTCAAAGATCACAATATTTTTTTTTTTGGGGGGGGGGGGGGTTGCACAAAACCTAGAATTGCAACATGGACCTGAATGACAAAAGGGAAGACTCCACTAATTTGGGTGCAGCAGTACAGTTAATTTTTTTTCCCCTCGAATTAGAGATAAAATGTATGAAAAGGTTATAAGAACACTAAACGGGAGCATTCACATTCATAACAGAAAAATACGTACTTCATGTTCAACCTACTGGAAACAATACGTATGCATTAATTTCATCGGAAACTCCAGATTGTTGACAACTTCAGATGGAATTCATCTCATTCCATGATGAGGTCTTATTCTCGGACTTCATGTTGCGCAAACATATACAGCGGCCCTAGCGAATGGGACGGCTACCAGCCCGGTAACCACGACAACATGATTATATTCCAGCTCGTGTATACCCTGCGAACGGTCACTCTACGTGCATTGTACCAGGTCAATCTACCTTGGATTTTTTTTCCCCGTTTCTTTTGTACGTTTTTTTTTTTATAGATATTTGGTTCCCTTGTACTGAGTGTTGTAATCTTGCCAAATGACTCGTTCACGGACAATGTATAGCCTTTCAAGGATGCAAGTATTTTTTTTTTTTTTTCCAAAAATGCCTTGGGCGAAATTCTGACAGAGGTATCTATGAGAGCGTCCACTCAAGACAAATTGCAATCTTTATTCTTTGCCCTTTTATTAGACGGGACTTAGCTTCGTTTTGAATTTAGCTTTTTTCCCCTCATCTTTTGAAGCCCCCTGATCTCACAAACAGAGTTCACTGCCTTGCGGTAAGTGTGTTACTGACATTTAAAGCAAATAATGTTATTTCGGGTTTTCACATGTTGTTATTCTTTCTTTTTTTCGGTTTCAATATCACAATGCTATCCCATTGTCACCATGCTTACGTGGTTAAAAAAAAAAAATTCTTGAATCTGGATTGAATGTTCAAAAGCCATTGCAAAAAGTGTGTATTTTAACCACTTGCTGCAAGAATTATTTTGGGCTGAAAAACACCAAATTTGAAAAAGACTATTTATCCGCCCAATTTTCAAATTAAGTCAAACACCACAATACTGACTCTTGAGAGTCATTTGAACAATATTTGTACGATAACTTCATATTTTGCAACACTCTGAGGAACTGCCACGGAGCGATAGTTTCTACGAGGTCAAGTTCAAGACACAGTGTGTCCAAAACCAATGGGAAACAACCTGATGTGTATAGGGAAAGCTGGAGGAATTTAACCCATCATCTGCCCCTGCGATAATACAGATCGTTTTACACGTACTCCGGCATTAACAGGTTAAAAACCCAAGATAGAATGACCATCTAATGTATGCATACTAAACAAATTTGAAAAAAAAAATCAAATAAAATTTGCCAGCTGAGTTGACGCATCTTAACTACAAAAACTAAACAAAACAACAACAATAAAAGCCAATAGAGGTAGCTGAGATTAATACAAATTTCAATGCTCATTTCATAAAGAAATTTGAAGTTATTTCTATCCTTCTCTAATAAGTCTTTGAAAGAACAGTCACTTTAAAAAAAAAAAGACAAGCCGATGTCAAAAGCCGTTTAAAAATAAGAAGAAAAAAAATATAACAGCAGGTTATCTTAACATCACTGATTTAAAGGTATTTCATTCATCGTTAACATTTTATACAAAAAATACCATCCCTGAAATATAAATACATGTATTGTTTATTAAAATATGCTTGGCATTGTAGTTTTACGGACTCTATCCACACAATTACTGGATAATGCGTGCTGAAATTTTAAAATATAAATTTTGGCCACTTTTAAAAAATGTTTTATATTTCATGAAATTGAAGAAAAAACACTACCCAAGGTATTACATGCACTGATTGTTTGGCTTCAAATCAAAACTGATTGGGGGAAAAATGGAAATACAATGTATACAAATCAAAAACCATTTTTCAATTTAAAAAAAATGTTTGTTTTTTTTTCAAGTTAACCTGAGGCTTCGATGTAACACCAAAAAAATACACAAAGATGATGATGACCTTTCATAATGTAAAAAAAAATGAAATAAAAATAAAATCTTTTCAACTGTTCAAGAGGATTACGAAAATGGCAAGGGGTACCGTTAAACAGTTAATTTCACTGTAGTTCTTGTTTTGAAATTATACATGCTGCCTCTAGTATGTGCCGATGGGAAAAAGGAAAAGAAAAAAAGGATTGGCTTCGAGGAATTTCTTTGTGTAAATCAAGATCCCATCAGCTCATCTACTGCTCGAGGAATATCCCCGGAGAGAGTGCTTACAGTTCACTGACATTAGCAGCTTCTTCTTTTTTCTGGGTTTTCTTGCCCCCGACCAGAAAAAAAATGTATAAGGCATGATTCGCGGGTAGAATGTAATCAACAAGGTGACGTATGCACGAGCCTTCCACATTATCATCACCCCCAAAGAAAAGGAAAATAAAAAGACGATCCCCGACCCAGTTTTTTTCCATTTCGTCAAAAACGTATGCATAATCGTCGGGGCTTTACCGATGTGAATGATTATTACGGAAATCTGCTGTTCTGAGTTAGCAATGCAAGTAGATATGGACACTTAAGTTGGGTGGGGGAGGGGGGAGATAGCGGCCGGAAATAATACCTGACAAATCCATTACTGTTATACGAGCAAAGGTTAAATTATTCTTGGCCATTATTAATGTTAGTGGATTTTTTTTTTTTTAGCTCAACTGTCAATATCAGGTTGACATTTGCCTTCACTTGTAATAACCCGAAAGTTAATTGCAACGAGAATATTGAGTCATTTTTTATCTGAAATTTACTCGCCCCTTTCCTTACTGCCTGGACAATGATAATAACAACCCTACAATCACAGAAGTACATTGTAATTCAACCATTTTCGTAAATTTGTTTGTGATGGTCTTTTACTGACCAATTGCGTTTTGACTGACAGTTTGCCTAATAGCAGGGAGAGGGCGTGCATAAAGATTACCGCCGTTGATTGCATCCCATCGCGCGTACGGTGGACGCATCAAGTGAGAGTCCATCGTTTGTCAACAATGCCCTATCACTTGATTAGAGTCCTTCGGGTCAGATGTGTCCGGCAAATGATACCCCTGCAGCTGTTTGGGTTTTGCATTATGACCATCTTGACAAGCGCTGATTTTTTAAAATTCTAGATAGGTTCAATGGAATATGGATTCCTGAGTTCAAACATAATGCTTCGGTTCGGAGCCTGGTGTATAGATAGGTCTGGTTCTAATGAATTTGGGTTTAAACCCGTCAGCCGTGCCTGTGTTTATTTAAAAACAGCCAGTGCGTGCTATCACCGCCCCCGACGCCAACTGGTTAATGGGATCTTTTGTGTTTTGGGTTAAAAAGAACAAATCAAAGTGAACGATATCATTCACCAAAATATCCTGAAAAAAAAAGATTCCTTGCAACCCCATGCAAACAAGAAATTTAAATATACATGTATAATACAGAGTGCTCTGTACCCACCCCCCCCCCCCCCCCCAAAGGATAATTGCTTTCTTGAACATTTCTTTAATTCCTTTTTTTTTTATAAAAGGTTGCTAGCTGCAAGGTTATATTTATATTTTAAGAAATAATCAGTGCACCGTAAAAATCTCAATCTGTAAACTGAAATTGAAGCAGGGGGAAAAAAAAATTAAAAACATTGCGCCATAAGCAAGTATTTACAATGTGAAGGCCGCCTGTAGTTTGTCTTTTCATACTTTTCTTTTTTTTTCCTCAAAGAACCCTTACTTTAAATTTTAAAAAAAAGAAAAGAAAAAACCAGAAAAAGGAAAATTGTGCAAGGCAATCTAAAGCTATTCAAACTAAGCCACGTAACCCACAAATACAAGTAAATGCTGTAAAACATGAAGGCACCGACTGCTGGAAAAGCAATCAATCTTTTTCATCTACTGTCATTTTTTTTTTTTTGCTCTCCACATCGACACAACAAATTTTCCGCCGATCTGAGTATTTCGTTTCCGGATCACGCCGTCTTGACCGGTTGTTGCAGATTGTTTGTCGCAATGCAGTTTTTTAACCGCAGTGCGGAGAAAATGTATAAATCATGCAGAATGCGTGCGGTGTTTTTCGCGCAAGGCGATCACGCCTTTTGTGATTTGATTTCTAGGCAAGTCAAAAAGGGATTGATGCAATGGGATAACGCGAGTAGCAGAATCCTACACGTTTAGGTGTGCACCGGGCCTTAAAACAGTCTTCCTTCTTTTGTTAAATGATCTCTGCTGTAAATTTGTTCCGCATGGAAAACAAAAAGTTCATAGCTTATCTTCTTTCTGTGACAGCCTTTGGCCAGATTTCAGTTTATCCGTTTCAGTTTAAAGAAATTCTCAGATCTCGCGGTAAAAAAAAGACAAGCTCCTATCTTCTTTTCAACATGGTCCTTTTTTGTTGTTGTAGTCTTCTTCCCATAAAAGCATCTCACACAAAAAAAAAAGACATCAACTGACAGACATTGCCTCTTTCGTCACCAAAGAGAGAACGAACTGCCTGCATGGCGTTAGGTAATCATGATTATAGGCTGAATCTAGATAATCTACTACAAATATACTACTTTGAAAAGTCGAAACTCAACCTATTATTATCAAGACTGGTTGTTTGAAGTTTTCTTTCTTTTTTATACACGGCGTTGCGGCACATTGAGATGTCGGCCACATGGTGACCTCGCAATAAAAGCACTCATTTAATATATATATTCCACCTGCGAGTGCATTTTACATATAGACATCTTTTTTTTTTATACAAAACAATTTAGAATTAATTACCTGTATACTTCTCTTAAACCGCTTAAATTTAACTCTTACAACAGAACCATACATACAGGACATGACACACAATCTTGACGAGACATGGCAGCTTAAGTTTTAATATTTCATTCTCCCTGAGTTAAGCTTCGAGTTCCACAAATATCAAGATTTCACATCGTACAAAGTGGTCCGCAAGAGGTAATCGCTGAATAAACCGAAGAAAAAAAAGGGGGGAAAAAAGAAGATGGGTTTCCCCCTGGCACTTTCTAAAATAAAAGTATGACACAGGGGGAACACGTGGAAATTGGTGTGGTTGTTTTATCGCATGTGCTGACTGCGCGTAATGTGGCAGGTGAACTCAATCTTATCCCTACAGACATACCCACAGATGCTGCACTGCAAGGGATGGCGACTGCCGTGACAGCTCATGTGCAGCGTGAAGATGACATGGTCTGCAAAGAACGTCTCACAGTGGGGGCACTTGAGGAGGTTGCTGGGGATGGCGGAAGGGTCCAGCCCCACCTGATCTGTCTGGGCCTGCCCGTCCAACTTACCTGAGGAATCACCCGTAGCATATGGCAAGTCAGTCTGGGTAGCCTGACAGGACTGGTTGAAGGCTAAGTTGTCCGGATGGGAGTCCATCATGGCCGGCATTCCCTGAGGTAGCAGGTTGCGTTCATCTGGGGTATCATCTGCCACCTGACTGACTGGCGAGACTGAGCTGTTACTCACGGGCTCGATGTCTGGATATCCCATCTCTCTGGGACCTGCAGAGAGGTCCACGCCATTCACACCTCCCGACTTGATTGCATAAGGCAGACTCTCCTCTGACTTGAAGCTGTAGGCCTGAGTAACATGGCAGTATTGCCTGGGTTGGGGCTCCCCACCACCACCACGCACGTAGTCGGAGATCTCCGGCCGGGTGTCGGCCCAGGAGTTGTTGAGCTCTTCACCGTTGGGGGAAATGAGGTAGTTGCGTTTGGGGAGGGGGGTGCGCTTTCGCTTGCGGGCCCCACCTTCCTTCTTGCGTCGGTAGATGGGGAAGCCTGCGCCGGCCCACTGAAGTGGTGTAATGACAGAAATCTCGCTGAGTGGATGTTGTTGGGGTGAAGTGCTTGGAATGCTGGTGACCATGGTGCTGGGTACACTGCCTGCAAAGGATACTGCAGAGGACATCCCTAATGCTGAAGCAGCTGAAGACACAGAGTTCGACAGCATAGAAATAGGACTCTGTGTCGTGCTTGCATTGGCAATCAAGTCATGGACGTTGTTACTCATGGACGGGCTTGAGTAGTCCAGCACTTCACCTGACTTGGGCCTCTCATTCATCTCGGATTCGCTTACTAGAGAGTTCTTCTCTAGCACGGGTGGTTCGGGGGACTGAGGTACTATAGACCCGTCTGAGTTGTACCTACTGATGTCGCTGGCCTTCAGCAAGGGCACCTGAGAGTTATTGATCCTTGCTGACTCGTGTGTGTCGTTAGACGCTGAGGAATCGTGGTCGTCCGGCGAAAGTGAATGCCGACGGTTTCCTGAGTTTTCGTGGGACTGAGTTGGATGGGCAGAGTTGGCCAGTTCTGACTGCATGAGGTATCGGGCTTGCTCTTCGGAAGAAAACAGTTTGCCGTGAGATTGCAGCGGGGGGCTGTCCTCCATGGGGGTCTGGTTCTGGGCGGTAATGGGTGGGTAGTTCATGTCAACACCGTCCAGGGAACTGGAGTTGTGACGTTTGCGTCTGTGGGCTTGCAGGTTACACTTATAAGGAGTCTGGTAGTGGCAGGAATCACACTTGAACTGTTTGCTAGTGCCTGTGTGGACGATGAGGTGACGCATAAGACTGCTTCGAAAGGCACTGCTAAAACCGCACACCAAGCACTTGTAGGGCTTCTTGCCAGTGTGAACATTCATATGCTCATTGAGGTGCGTCTTGGTCGGCGACACGTGGGTGCAGAGCTTACACTGGAACACCTTGCCCTGGTCTGGAAAGCTGGGCAGCCCTGAGGGCATGAGGGCCTGCTCCACAGCGGTGGAGAACGGGAGGCTTGGGTTGTGGTTCTCAGGGAGTGGCATTCGGGGCGGGAGGGGCACCGGTGGGTGGAGCTCAGGCCGGTCTACGTGGTGGTGATTGTTGTACAGCGCCACTTGTTGCTGCTGCTGTTGTACCTGCTGTTCCAACCACGACTGGCTGCTCATATCAGCCCTCGGGTGGCTGTGCACGGCCAGGTGCTGGGCGAGGGTGTTCTGCAACGAGCAGCTGAAGTTACACTCACGACACTTGTAGGGCCGCGAGCCGCTGTGAATGTTCATGTGCTCATCCAGAGCTCCCTGAGATGACAGCAGGACGGTGCAGAGCCGGCACTGGTAGCCAGTTAGGCCCTTCTGTACACCCACTGCTGCTGCTTTGACTGCCCCTTCCTCTACTAGACCCTCCTGGCTACCCGCAGTGTCTCCTCTTCGGTCCTCTTCCTCCTCATCCACCTCATCCACCTCCTCCGGCCGCTCTCGCTTGATGGTGTCCTCCAGTCTGCCGTTGATGTCCAGGTCAATGTCCAGCTCGCCTTCCTCACTGCCAGGCAGGCTGTCACTGACTACTTCAGTTTCCACGGCCTCATCCATTCATGTTCACTGCCCGTGCGCTCACCGACAAAGCCCTGCACAGAAAAACACAACAAATGGAAAGACAGTCACCAACATTGCTCCTGATCAAAAAATTGCACCGTCAACTGATGGCATCTATCCAAATATGAAGGCTGTTGGGTTTAACACATTAGCAACTTTACTACATTGTATTAGGTTGTATCTATTCCCTCATAAATCCACGAAACCACGCAATTAATTGCAGTAACCGGCAGGAAGGTTTCGAACAGTACTTTCCACAACCTTCCAAAATCAACCACTGTGCAGGAGACCAACGGCACAGTCTTTATCATACTCTTATTTCACGAGGCAATCAAAGTAATAGCTACTGGGCTCCACTACCGTAGCTATAAAATCCTGCAAATTATTTTGGAAACTCTTGGTTGGTTTTGAAAGATTTAGGAGGCCTTGGGTGAGGTACACAGCATGTTTACATATATCTAAAAAGCCTCATGCAAAGCAACTTTCTCGTGGTGCAGAACCTGTGAATAAAACAGTACTGTCAAGGAAAACAATTTATACGGGCCCTGTGTACTGTACATGAATGTGCATGTACAGCGTATTCAAAGTTTAATTTAGTTTAGGCAACAAAAATACCCCTGCCTTGGTGACAAAATGATATCTTTACGTCTCAATGCAGTCACATGTTTATTCCAAAAAAATATTCCCCAAATTTATGGAATGATCCACAAACCAATATGGTTCTCCTACTCCAGGGGATTGCCGCGGCATGAATCATCGCAGACCGATGTCCGCTCATCGCCAGATTCTGCGTTGGGCCGAGGTAAGAAACAGGATCTTGCTCCAGTCAATTTTGTCACACTGGGTCACAACTTGCCAAATTATGGGTCAGGAAGCCACCTTCATTCCAAAAAAGGTCGATAATTGGCAGAAAAAAAGTACAACCCTGGCCAATTCCATGCTTTGAGCAGCTAAGTATAATGCTGTTCATTTTGGAATGAGTTTGTATTTTCATCATTCAACTTGGATTTGATCCCAGTTGAATATTTTCAAATGAACCACAAAGGGAAACTGACTAGTTGCATTATAATAATTTTTTGTCAAAAACTTGAGCAAAGAAATTGACTGGAGCGGGGTTTGAACCTGTGACCTCTGGATTACCGTTCCGGCGCTCTACCAACTGAGCTATCTCAGCCCGATGTTGGCGGTTCCCAACATAGAATTTGAATATTGACACTGAGCTTAATATTAACAACGTAGGTAGCCGACTAGATGACATGTGACAGATTCTAAACAAATTCGGCGGTAAATTCACTGTGGAAGCTTTCAAATTATACACATTTTTTGTCCGCAAAAAAAAATGTGACTAATGTGACAAACAATTAATAAATCATGCAACTTTTACAAACAAAATACCATCTAGGACTTTTTGTCATCTTTTTTCGACCGCCCACACTTTTCGGATATTTGGTTGACGATTGAATGTTCAGATACGCAGTATATTCAGCACAGCCCTAGCACTAAGCACTGAAAATAGTTACCTTTACAGCAAACATTGGTTACCAGCTAAATTGTCATTTGACGCTAATATTAATATTAATAGCTTGTGCCTGGTTCTCCGCTCTTATGTTATTTTAAATTTTTTTTTGCTAAGCAATACTGTAAATTTGCTTCGTAATATTATTCTGCTTATAGCAGTCCCATATAATAGGCATGAGATGAGATTCTTCTGCCTAAATCTGTGATGAATGTTTTTCTTGCTTTCTGTATAAACACCCAAAAAAAAAAAAAACCAAATAAATAAATAACATCTATGGATACCGCGGTACATTACTCGCTTTTATCACTGGCATTATGGGAATTCAGCCTACGTGTCTAATGTAACGAGTTCCGCGGATGGGATTTAAAAATTGACTGTGTCTACCTGCTTTCACTACCAAAGTGCGTCACGCTGCGCCATTGTGTCAATGTTTCATGATACTGCATGGACTATAGCACTGAGTGATTTTCAAGAGAGTGGACCGCAACGAGCACAGGACTAAACAAGCCGTGCATCATTTAGTACCAGTTGGGTAGCTATAGTGTGGGCAATTTGGAAGACAATCAAACCACTCTGACCCTTTAGCACTTGTATAAAATTGTATTTCACTGTAGTTACTCAGTGAATCAATCGGACTGTAGAGTGCAGGGGCGGGGCGGGCGTACAGGCAGGGCAGTTTGGGGCGGTACAAGGGTTAATCATGGGTCCAGGCACTTTACAATCAATTGTAAAGCATACCCAGTACTCTTAAAACCACTTTGCGTCGGATGGCGTGTGAACACGATCTGGCTGTTTCTATTCACAGACACGGCTGACGGGTTCAAACGTCAATAGCGTGCCTCAACTCAACTCCGGGGGACATCTATTAAAACACGCTTATCCCCCATTTGTTTTGTACACACACAAAGTCCGAGAAGTCTGTGGAGGCGGTCCGCGTACGTTGTACTTGAACTTGACCGTTGTGCACGGCCGGTTGTGGTCCAATTTACGCTCCGTGGGCACACCCCGGAGTGTTGAAAAATATGAGTTGCGGTAAGAAACATCGTATAGACTAAATGACTCTTGCGAAGCAGTATTTGTGGCCTTTGGCTGTACAGGTACATGTATGCCAAAACTTGGCTATACTTCCGGTATATCTTGCCTTTTTTGAAAATCGGCGCGAAGTGGTTAAGAGATGCTTTTCACAAGTGGTGATAATTTAAATAATTTTCCTACTTTCAAAATGTTTGTGGTGGCATGGGAGGAAACCCTACAGTAAGCACAGGAAGAGAACTCGGGGGGAGGGGGGGGGGGGAGGGGGAAGTACATGTACATGTACATGCTTTTTACATACCGGTACATACCGTACATACATGTATAAACATTGTGTGCACTTGTATAGTCACATGAATCAATTTTCTGCCAGATTCAGTCTTCAAATGTTGATTACACTTTGTAGTAATACTAAAAAGTTTGAGAAGTGCTATAATCAAATTTGTATTTCACATAATAATCCGATTGAGGATATTTACATGTCCCACAGGTACCATACCAAATGTACATGTACGTATAATTTACATAATGTTCAAAATTACATTTATTCACCTTTCCCATGTAAACCGTTACCGCAAACTGTCATTACTGCAAAGTGCCATTTATTCATGACTCACTTTAACACGGCGGCCGCAATTTATTCCGACCATTCCCTCTGCGGAGCCAGCGCGCTGCAATTTGCAAATACATGATCCTGCACATCCATGATAAGGCTATATTTATTTATGTGTCACTCGGCATTTGTTTACTCAAAAAAAAAAAAATGTATTTTTGTCCTTCGCCCAGCAAAACAAATTTGTGGGGTTTCAGCCCATTTGATAAATGAAAGAGTATAAAAAATATGCTCAAGGACTGATTAGTGGCGTAATGATTCATTGATGAATTGATAATTGAGATACGAGAATGTATAGCGGTACAAATTATACATCATTTGCTTTTGCTGTAATTTTCAGAAATGGATGGAATTGGGGGGTTGGAAATATATAGCAAATACAGTTACACTGACTTTTTTGAGGTTTTGGGTTCGAAAATGCTATAAAAACCAAGAAAAACAATCGTTTTCCTGTAGTCTGGTTCCCTGACTCCATATAAGAAGAAACAGAGCAGTTTACATACATTGGGGAATTGTAAGGTCAGAAAACCAGTCTAGCTGGATTGTACCCGCTCATAGGTGTGTAATCGATTGCAAACAAGTGCGATGGTCAACTGGGACCAGTATTTGAAAAAAAGCCGGTCGGCCGACCAGCGTTGGAAATTGATATAAAAATACCACTTTTCTTGAAAATGACAGTATACCAGGTGCCATGACTTTACAGGATGCTTAACACTGTCATTCACTAACAGTCCAGCAAGGTATTTCAAAATGATTTGGTAGTTTTTTTTTTGATGTTTGCAAATGTTGTATTTTCCCTTTAAGAAAATTCTTCCCATGTGTACTATACTTTGTAGTAATATCTAAAAACAAAAACAGACTATTTTTATCATCAGAAGTCCAAATTAGTGGACAACGTAAATACATGTACATTGTACATGTATCTGGTACATGTACGTTATTTTGAACAGAACGTTTTTTTACAAATATACTTCAGACCGACAGTTGTGAACAAATACGAAGCAGTTTATCACATTTGAAAAACAATGTAATTAGTATATGACTCAACGCCCATGCACAAAAGTGGACACCTTTAATGACAATGAAAGCATGTAAAAAGTGGAACAGCTGCCATATGTAATGTACACGTAACTCGGGCATTTGAAGTTTGTGATACACATCGTATATCACATACAATGTAGGTATTGTGATGACAGTGCCAGGGTGTTATGGTAACAAGATATCACTGACACTATAATTATGTGCATGTAGGAATGACCCAGTTTTAACACAGTTTTGAATTTTTTAACCGCAACCCCTTGGGTCTTTTTACTAGAAAGTATCCTGAATCTGCCAAAATCCATCAATTCTGTCATGCAAAAACAAAAAAAAATGCTGGTGTCCTGAGTCCATCAGAATCCACCAGTGAGTCCATCAGAATCCACCAGTGTAGTACATATACACATGTACCTCGTACATACCAAATATATAGCCAAGGAGTTAAACTGTTGAGATCCTGAATCCATCAAAGTCCCTCAACTGCTCAATATGGAGGTATCCTGAATCCATCAAAATCCTGCAGTACTGCTAGGCTTACTGTCCTGAATCCATCAAAATCCCGCCAACTTTTTCAATATTGCAAGGCATCCTGAATCCGCCGAAATACTCCAAAACAGGGGTGTAGATTTTGATGGATTCAGGGTGGTTAGGGTTAAGGCAATGTACATGTAGATATTGGTTTGTTACATGCATCTTGAAGTTTTCATGCACTTTTATTTGCCCTTTGCTTCAAGGGTACCAAACATAAATGTACATGTTTACATGTAACAATGTCTTTCACTTCATGCACATTTTTTTAGTGGATTTGCAAAATCAACAAGGCACATTCC